AGAGGCTGGTTTCAAGGCCACCAGCACCCAGGGGGGAAGTGCCGAGTGCCTCTGACGTCCTGTCCTTCCCAAGGGACCCAGTGGTCCAGAATCAATCAGCCACGCGGGAAGAATGGGCATCTATTTTCCAAGGCACAAACTTGTCTACATGTCTTTTTAAATTTGCTGTCACCCTAGCAGGGCTGAGGAGACACACGCACTGTCCCCGTGGCAGAGGTCCAAGGACGTGGCTCCACTGGCGGAATGTCCCCTCCTCCGCTGTGGCCGCTTAGAGTCGAAGGCAAGGCACATGCTTCGGTGCTCAAGGCTTGGAGGCGGCCGGCAGGAAGATTCTGGAGGGGCCGCGGGGCGCTGCCCACCTGGAGGACAGGTCGCAGGCCCCTCGGCAGCCCCGCGCTTGGGCCTAGACGTCTCGAGGCAGCAGCGGCGTGACAGCCATGTGGGAGCGCCAGATCCCTGTGACCTCGCGACCCCGGGGACTTTCGGGTGCACGCCTGGGCTTCTCGTCCTGACGCGTTCAGGGAGGGAGGTGTCGGCGCCGCTCAGACCACCCCCCCAGAGGGGACAGTGCATGGCAGGTCCATGGGCATGGCCGGGTCCTCCCTCCCGCGCCGCAGCCTCAGGCGGGACCCACCAGCAGCTCCGAAGCTGCGAGCAAACCGTTGAAGGCCGTGGCAGGGAGGCACGCGGTGTCCCCGGGCGCCCCTGTGGTGGCTGCCAGCTCCTCCCATCCAGCTGCCGGTGGGGCGGCCGACTGCAACGCTATGTGCCCAACACCCGGGACATGGCGTCTGTGCTCAGCGAAGCCGCTCGCGGCCGGGTGGGCGTCAGCACTGTCCCGGAGCGACCGCCACGCAGCTCAGCTCGGCAGAAGTCAGCCCACCGTCCTCCCCCCGACCGGACTCAGTGCAGACGGGGCGCGAGACGGCCAGTCCCTCTGAGACACAGATGGACACCCCGTTTACTAAGTTCCCAGTTACGGGACACTCCGCCATCAGCAACGAGGTGGCGATTCCTGTGTCTGTTCTGTAAACGTTAACGAGGCCCTTGAGCTAAGTGTTTAAAACCTCCTCCTTTTTGGCTCATTAAGATTTTTTAGAACTTAGATGTGAAAATGACTAGTGAACATTATCGACGTTTATTTCATTCACACCTTTATTTAATGTCGCATGCAGAGCGCAACCCCGCAGTGCTTCAGGATGTCAAGTATGTGGTGCGTCTCTTGTGACAGTGACAAGGGGACAGCTAAAAGCCCAGGCAGTGAAACGGAAACACAATTTTCTTTAAATTATAAAGTAAAAATACTGACATTAAAGCTCCACTAATCACTGCAACAGTTAAGAACTTAATTTACCATTTCAAGTTAGGAAGGCTCTTCATGAAATTTATTCAAGTTGTCAGATGAAAATATAAAAAAAGAAACATATAAATTTTACTTTTGATTTTCACTAAAGGTAAATAGTCATACAATTTTATACAGTGTCACCTAACATCATCTTTAAGAAACTTAGGGATACAGAAATTAAAAATGCAGAAATTTTTTTTTTTACACCTTTAAATCGAGAGACAGCAATTTAACTCTGGTGCAGAGTCGGTGTGACAGACGCAGCAGGGGACCGAGGCGGCGTCAGCGGGCGGCCTGCACGAGGTCACCTTCAGACCATGAGGACTGGCTCTGGGGTCAGAGGGAGCGGCGTACACAGCGCTCTTCCATGCCAGCCCGGGGCTCACTTCCCAGACTGCTGAGCCCTTGGCGGCCGGCGTGCTCGGGACAAGGGCCTGCAAGCCGCCCCGCAAGCTCCCAGAACGGTGGCCGACTCCAGGTTCCGCGGCAGGCCTACACCTGCCTGCAGAGGTGCCCGGCACAAGGGGACAGTCGATCAGAGGCCAGCTGCTTCCCCTGTTCACCCATGCGTGGGGGCGAAGCAGGGCCCACGGGCTGGTCCCCTCAGCCAAGCACACCCATACAGAGGGGACGCTGCGCTCCGTGCCTCTTTCCAGGGAAATTCTCAGTGGAACTCGGCTTCTTGCTCTTCCTCAGACAGCTGGGTGCACACAACGTGGCCGCCAGGTTTGCCCAGGCCTTCTCCAACCCTCCACGCCCGCCCCTTTCCCCTCGCACCCTGGGCGTCCTGGGCGTCCTCGGCTTCACCGGCTTCAGCGGCTTCAGGCGTCCACGGCATCACCGGCTTCCCCAACTCCAGTGCGAACGTGATGCCCGACAGTTTCTTAAGAACTCAAGGTGCACCCCAGGAAGCACGGGGTTCGGAGAGATGGCTGCCTGGCGGTCTGCCCACTGGGACCTGGCTGTGAGGGGCCAGTGGAGGACACGGGACAGTGAGGCCCACCTGGAAGGGCCGTGTGTACCTGCTCATAAAAACTGGTAGTGTCACTGCACGCTGTTCCCCACAGCTTCTCGGTGTCCGAGACGACACGCTGCCACTGCTGATTTTCCTACCATGACGCATTCATCCTCAGTCCCAAGCCCACGGCTCACAAATGCTACAAGTCTCAATCAGCACAAAGGACAAAATTAAGATTCTTTGCCACTATTTTTAAAGTACGTTTAGAACCTAACGTGACCGGTTATTTTAAGAGTCTGCTACTCTCTCTGACATGTTTGTTTTGAAGAGAAGGCATGGCTTTCCACAGGCTTTGGTCTCCAGCCCGCAGGGGGGTGCTTAGCGCCCAGCCCTGACCCCCAGAGGAGGGCCGGGACCGCTGGCCGGCGGGCTCAGGAGCCTGCCTCACGTAAGTCACAGCACAGTCCTGGCTTCTGGCGTCCCCAGGCCTAGAACTGGCGAACCGGAGCCAGGCGAGCCGAAGGGAGCCGGGCCGGGCCCTCTGAGGGCTGCACGCAGGCCGGGCCCTCACCGGGAGGGGACGGGTTTGCAGGCCACCCGAGGACTTTGTTTCTGCCTGTGCTTTTCGTCGATGCCGTCCCATGCGGGACAGAGAAGTTGACGACCCGGTGGGCGCCTCCTCTTCCCACAGCTTTTGTTCCAGAGAGCAGGTCAGAAAGGACACTCTTGCTCGAGACAATGTTTAAGCTGCAGAACTTTGAAGATTTCAATAAGGAAGCTCAAAGCTTGGTGACAAAAACTACACTCGTGTCCCCCAGGTCCCTTGGTGGCACCGTGCTGTCCACCCGAGGCCGGGTCTGCAGGACCAAGGAGGTGCCTGCCGCCTCTCCTGTGCCTTCCTGTCCTCGAGCTGCCAGCAGCTGGCGCCGGGGCTTGAACACCTGGCCCCTGGCCTCGCGACTGCAGCAGACGGCCCTGCTGGCTGCCAAGGAAGGGACAGGCGTGAAGGGCAGGCGGCCACGGGCAGGGAGCCCGCAGACGGTAAGGGAGACACGGGAAGGAGGAGGCTGAGACCAACCGCATCCCAAACTTGACATGACCCTGCTTTTAAAGGCGGGGGT